CATTTTCTCCTGTCAAACGTCATTCGCGTTCTCGATTCCCGAATGACGTCTTTCCGAGACTACCGTAAGTCTTAAAGAGCCCAGCTCTCAGTAAGTGCAAGCTAGACCTTGCAGCTTTGTTTACCTGGAGCGGAAAGTGTGCATATGCTCGTTTGCAATTTACATTATGTTGGGCCGGGGTGTACAGCTGTAGATCGGGCCAAATACTTGTATGTAAATTTGCACAGGATTATTTTCCACATTAAGGGTGTATCATATTAGATTCGGCAATGTGGGAAGGAAGTAAATTTGACAAGTTGTGCTACGTTTACATTGACAGTCTTTCACACAAATTTCTCGATCGTTGTGTGTTTACTTGCTCAGAAATTGGATGTTTGACACATTTCGTACAAAAGACTTGTCATATGCTTGAATTATTTCAAACGTGTTACATTACTGAGGAAGATCTTGTTAAGATCGCAACGTCAGGCTGTCTTGTTTGTTTGATTTGTATATTTCAGGTCAAACCAGTCAGAAAGCAGTTCACAGCTGTTTTACTCATTTCGAAATATTTCAAACTATTCTTTATTTTTGGTGACGATGCTAAGGATTTTCCAACGCTGTAGCTCACAAGTCAAAATAAATGTTTAGAATACAATTTTTTCTTTATAATTTCCATCATGCATATGTAGCAATTTGTTTCCAAAGATTTTGATGTACATGCATACAAAAGTGGAAGATCTGATGGAAATTCTATTGAATGAATTTGGTTTTCTGTCCTTATAAAAATCGAAAATTAAACATAAGTTTAGAATACTATGTAAATGGACAAGTATGTACGTGTGCTGCAATGTCAACACATACATCACTTCAAACAAAACTGTGTGGGCAAGAAACCTGATCATGTCTGAGGAACTGTTCATTGCTGTAATGAGTTTCTTGTCAAATTTGTTCTTCGTGGGTCCGGCATCCGGCGATATGTTGTCAAGCTAAGACCTTAATATATATCCTCTCCATAAACGTTTCACCGTTGTAAAATCGTTATTCCTTGTGTAACGATTTCCTCCAGACGAGATGGACTTTGGACTGTTTGCAAATGAACGATGTGGCTGTCGAGTTGCTACATTGTAGTAATATGGTATGGAGTGGCAGAATGTATGCAGAATCGAACCAGACTTCTTTTTTTTTTGGTTTATTGATTTAAAGAATGTTAACAGTGATAACATCCTAAGAGGAAATATGGTCTTTAAAAATTAACTAGATTTACTAGAGAAAGTGAAAGTATTGCCCATATAAAAATAATAGATGAAAACATGGTTTGACCGTATTTAAAATTTTGAATTTTAATATTTAGAGGTACCGTTAGACATCCTTTTTGTGCCTGTATGCTGATTCTCACAAATGTACGTTTCTGCGGATGTGTGTGAAAGAATTAATCTCCATTATGTTGCAGTTAAACGTATACCATACTAACAGTTGCATCCTTGAAATTGTCTCCATTTATAGATGACCCACATAAAACTTAATTATAAGCATAAAATTGCTTTTGTACACTGGTACCGATACTTGTTATATTACAAACTACATGCATCCCCATTAACTGCCTAATTTGCATAGCTATTGATGCATGTGCAAATTGCACTATGACTGACCTTTCTTTTGTTAAGGAAGTCATCATACATGTGCATGTAGGAAATGACTCGTCTTGCATCCTAACATTTTTAGTCAGCCTAACACTGCCTGCACTAACACTCTAATTTAACATGCCCTGTGATTGTTCATGTGTGGTTTTTGGTGGTTTTTTTTCTTTAAAATGGCATATACATTTATATACATGTACATGTATGTATAATGTACACTGTACATGTATCTATGAAGGATTGTTACATGCACACATGCATGTCTATTTCTTTTTCAATTGATTTTACTGGATAATATACCACTTATTGCTCCTGAAATATCAACTGCCTGAAAAACTTGAAAATGAAAACCAAATCACAATCCGATACAAACCACTCAAGCAATCAGTGGTTGCATTGATTAATTGGCAGGTGTCTAGGCACTAAAGGCCTTTTGCAAGTGGTCTGTTAAAGTAATTTAGGTTGCTAATGGCCCACCATTGTTGTTGGGGTCATGTCCCCATGCCAAGGACATTGATAAGAGTGACACCAACTGAGGCATTAAATGCTCCACCACTGTGTGTTTAATGAGTGCATTCTGGTGTTCATATCAGAAGAGAGACAATACCATAATGTGACCTGTGCACAGAGTCACCATTTCAGCCTAAAATGCTTTACTATAAGGGGACTATAATGCAAGTGAGTTTGTTCATGTATTTTATTATTGCATCCTGTTATTTATTACTATATTAGTTCATTTAAAGAGGATGAATTTCATATGTGGCGTGTGTATTTATGTAGGTTGGGTGAAAGAGCTGTTGTGTACACAACAGCTCTTTCACCCAACCTACATAAGGGAGAACAACAGATTCTTTGTTGTTCTTGAGATGTTAATTCTTTTTTTTGTTGAAAACGGTCCTCAATTGTGAGTTGGTGTGCCAGTCTATGGGAGAATGTTACATTGTATATGTGACCTGCTCCACCAAAAAAGTATTTATGTCACAAAAAGGTTAAATTGAGTTAAAGGGAATGTACAACATTTGCTTTTGCTACAATTTTCAGAAATAAATGGATTTGGAGGATCAGTATGTCATAGCAAATATTGTTCAACTGACTTGTTTCACATTTTGGGCTTGTTTATGCTGGAAAAACTAAGAAAACCAATCATTTTCTTGTAGTCTGGTTCCCCGACCCCACTTATTGATGAAACAGAGAAACGTAAAGACTTTGGGGAATTGTAAGGTCAAAGAATCACTCTAGCAGGTTTGTACCCCTTCACAGGTGTGTAATCTATTGCAAAGAAAATGCGGAATAACTAAATATGAAAACAGTTTTTGAAAAAGCCAGTGTTTTCCAACACTGGTCGGCCGACCAGCGTTGGAAAAATACAGTTTTTCTTGAAAATGTCAGCACACCAGGAGCCACGATTTTACAGGATGCTTTAGACTGTCATTCCCTTTCAATTCAGTAAGGTATTTCGTGATAATTTGATCATTTTGTTTTTTGATGTTTGCAAATGTTGTATCTTCCCTTTAAATATACATGGTTGAAAAGCCCACAACGTAAGCTTTCATTTGGTATAATAGAGCTCCATAGCCCCTCCCACTTTTCCATATAATTTGCATATTTAATTACTTCCTTGTAGTTCAGACTACCGGTACTCAACAGAGAAACCATGGTTTGAAATAGCTGGCTCTGTTGTAGATTTGGGCAACTTACATTTTTTCCCACTTTAATAATCGAAATCAACATGTCTGTGAATGAACCATGAAACTTACATGTAAGGTATTAAAGATGTCATTCGCGACAAAAAAAATGAACATCACATTTTCACCCTCTCGACATTGAGCGGGCCATTACACGATATTGTACAACACGGCTGAATACCAATTTTTGTGGGGCAGATCACATCTTATAGGGACAAAGGGAAAGACAATGCCTTGTCCTCCAGAGTCATGTAGGGTAAAACATGACTGTGTGTGTGTGCAGTGATGTGTTACAAATTGATACAGGGGTGTGAAATCTCAGCTTAATAGAAGATTTCAGCTTTTTTTGTTTTGGATAAAGCTTTTTCCCCTCACTTGCTGTGTACAAAAGTATTTTTTGAACACCTTTTTCAGCTATTTTTAGCTATTTTTTATCAGTGGTCACTCACACCACTGTTGATACAGAGCAGTGTTTCCCCTGCCCATTCAAATGTGAGGTGGCCCACCTCGCTACTTTCAGTGACCACCTCGCTCAATTTTTGCCAATATCACCACCTCGCTGTGAAGATTGGCAGAAAAGGAAATATCAATTGAAAAACTTTCATTTTGTGTAATATATTGAGCGTTTTCCTTTACCTCCATGTATCAAGAACTCACAATTTCGATGTGTTTTTGGAATCATCGCGCATTTTTGTGAGCGCTGCATTCTTTTCAGTTTGCAGACTGCGTAAATTTCATTTCAATCATCAACTTGAATTGTTACCACCTCGCTCAGTTCATTAGCCAGGGGAAACACTGATACAGAGTTATCATTGGAGACATAAAATGCTTGACTAGGAGGACAATACAGTAGTATGGTATGTAATTAAATCACCGAACCATATCGTTTATCTTAGAGAGGACGAATACTTCAAATGTAGCCTGTGCTGCAGAAACGTGTACAATCTGTATAATATAGGTCAGGTCATCTTAGTGCTGCAAACATGTATTGCAAATTGATTTTAGACTGTACATGTGTATAAGTAATGTACTTGTTCCGGGGTACCAAGTTTCAAGTATTTCCTATACAAAGGAAGGATACCAAATGTACACAACAACTGTATTGGAAAATGTGTGTTAGGTCTAACAGTCAGAGGGGTATTTCAAGTTCATGCTTAGCAATTTTGATAACTGGCAATGTACAGCTAACACAGGGAGCAGACTGCATGTATATTAACGCTAACCCAAATTAAGCTTGATGTGTTTACCAGCTTATAGTTGTGCTGAAGTGCACGTGACTAGTGCTTTATGTAAGTCTGCTAGGGGTCAATATATGTAACATACATCTCCAGAATTTGTTCAGTATATTTGACACTGCAGTCTGCAGTAAGCCTAACCTGGTTATAAGAACAGTTTGGCGACAAGGGAGAACTTATCGCATTCTTCCGTCAATCTGTCAGCAAACTGCCGTGCAGCAAATTTGTTCTTGCCAATAATATTTGAAGTACGTGATCTTATTAAGCTTTCTTATTGGTTTTCACATTTTCCCACTGTGCAAGCCGTTTTCTTAAAGAGGCTCTTTCTTCCTTCCAGCTTCCTACATGGCTTCTGTGGAGCCCTGCTGATTGCCCATATTGCCCCCCGCTGATTGCCCCTCTAAGGCATAACAAAAAAAATAGATTTTTCATGTCTCTTTGTTCTTTTTTTCCCCATGCAGATATGGAGGATCTTCCTAAGAAAGACGCTATGAGACGAAGCCCGCTGTTTAGCCAGCCCAACGGAACCCTACAGTACACTGTATGTCTTATCTTGTCAATTTATAAGTACATGTATTTTTCAAAAAGTAACCAAATTGGGATTTATAACCTAATCATGTTTCTCATCATTTAATTTGTAATACACTTTGTTTTTTGTTCCCAACATTTACTTCCCAAATCCTCTAAATTCCTCTTTGCGAAGGGGAGGATTTTGCAGGATTGAGGCTATTTGAGTGGCTGATTTTGGAGGATGCACTGTTTCAAGGTCTTGGGCCAGACCTTGTGTTGTTTATAATGCTCAGCAGTGCATAAATTTAGGCCTAGATTATTTAGGTAGATTATACTTGAAATCCTCCGTACTGCTCCAGGATGTCACTGGCTCTGCCTCAACACATTGACAGTGATTGCTGGAGGATTTTGCAGGATTGAGGCAGTGGTCACCCCTCCAAGGACCACATTCAAGAAATAACAGATACTTTTGCAGGATTGAGGCTGTATGCAATGTTTACACGGAGGCAATTTGAGGATTTTGCAGGATTGAGGCTGCATCCTAGCAAAAATGCCTGGAGAGTTTGGGTTAAACATGTCCTCCAAAACAGTAACTACAGGGGAAATCTGAATAGTTCTGAATAAATGGAGAAATTTATGAAATAATGTGACTTGTGTTACAGAATCATGTGATCTATATCTAGTCATATGATACCAACTCGAGCCTTAAAAAGGAGACGGTTCTCGTCTGCAATTTCTCCATGAAACTGTTCCGGCAAATCGTGTTGCATGCCAAAATGTGTACCTCCAGCAAGACTGTAGGTAATATAATGAAGTTATCAAGTCTAGTCGGGATTAAAGCTCCCCCTCTCTCCCCCCCCCCCCCCCACCCTGGGGCACTTTCCATTGAACATCTGCCACGTAACCCATGTCTCTCCCCTCTCTCGTTGTCTCCATGCTCTCGTCTGCAATTTCTCCATGAAACTGTTCCGGCAAATCATGTTGCATGCCAAAATGTGCACCTCCAGCAAGACTGTAGGTAAACTAATATAATGAAGTTATCACGTATAGTCAGGATTAAAGGGAAAATACAACATTTGCAAACCTCAAAAAATAAAACTACCAAATCATTTTGAAATACCTTGCTGGACTGTTAGTGAATGACAGTGTAAAGCATCCTGTAAAATCATGGCACCTGGTATACTGTCATTTTCAAGAAAAGTGGTATTTTTGTATCAATTTCCAACGCTGATCGGCCGACCAGCGTTGGAAAAAAAACTGGCTTTTTTTTCAAATACTGGCCCCAGTTGGCCATCGCACTTGTTTGCAATCGATTACACACCTATGAACGGGTACAAGCCAGCTAGACTGGTTCCCTGACCTTACAATTCCCCAATGTATGTAAACTGCTCTGTTTCTTCTTAAATGGAGTCTGGGAACCAGACTACAGGAAAATTATTGTTTTTCTTGGTTTTTATAGCATTTTCGAACCCAAAACCTCAAAAAAGTCAGTGTAACTATATTTGCTATATATTTCCAACCCCCCAATTCCATCCATTTCTGAAAATTACAGCAAAAGCAAATGATGTGTATTCCCTTTAAAGCTGCCACGTAACCCATGTCTCCCCCCTCTCGTTGTTAAAGCTCCCCCTCTCCCCCCCCCCCCCCCCCACCTCCCCCCAACCCTGGGCACTTTCCATTGAACACCTGCCACATAACCCATGTCTCCACTCTCCCGTTGTCTCCGTGCCTCTCTGCAGGTGAAAGGGAACGACACGCTGAACAGCATCGCCCTTCACTTTGAGTCGACGCCCACTCAGCTGATGCGACTGAACCACCTCAGCAGTCGCATGCTGTTCCCGGGACAGGTAGGCGTCTATTTAATAGCCCCTGGGATGTTTTTGAAACCACGGCTTTTAATCCAACAGCTCTGGCTTCAGGCTTCTGACCTGGGAGACTCAGACTTGGTATTTGGTTCACTTTGCTGAGCAATGTCTATTAAAAATCATGGAATATGTGCAGGTAGGCATCTATTTAACATCCCTGGAAAGCCTGAGGGTTGTTTTCGAAACTTGGGCTTCATTCATCACCAGTTTTGGCTACAGGCTTCTGACCTCAGCGACTTTGCCTAATTATTGGGTTCATTGTACTTCAAGGTAAAGGGGATGAACCTGTGTTCACAGGAACGGAGTGCACATCTCTCTTTCGAAGCGATTGGGCCAGACTCGAGCCCATGTAATGCTGCTGTGGGGGGATTGCCACACCTCCTCCACAGCGAGTCTGTTACCTTCCCAGCATTGAATAATGCCGGTACCATTAACACCTGGGTTGAGAGGAGTAATTGAGGTAAAGCGCCTTACTCAAGGGCACAACACGCATGGCACGGCGGGGCTCAAACCCACAATCTCACGATCATGAATCCTGTGCTCTACTGTTGGACCACACATGCCCACAATTGTTCAATCTCTGTTGCCTCGCCAAGATCCAACTAAATATTTTAAGTTTTATCTTCAACCACCCTAATCCTATTTCAATACCTCCCCCCCCCCCCCCATCATGTAGCCTCCCTCATTGTCGTACATTTTACCATCCTATACAGTTTCACTCTGAGAGAAAGCAAAATCCAGACTATTCTTGCCGGGAGTCATGTTTGTCTATCGTTGGAGAAACCACCGACTTTCAGGCCCCAGATTAGATGCCTCATTTGCACTGGAGATGTCAAAGATGGGCTCGTGTGCCAGACGCGTTAAAGATCACTTGCCGGAGGGTTCTCAGGCATTCCCTCATCAAGCCAGGAGTGCAAATTTGCAAATAATAAAAAATAACAAAGACAAATGAGAACAACATTAGAGGTTCGTTGTCTATGAACGATTACCTTTAGACAAAATAAAAATGCAGGTACGACAGTAGACTTTCTTGGATGTCTTTCCTTTAGGGGAAAGAGCTTCAGGTTCTGGTGCGTTCCCTAAGCTAGCTATAAGGCAGACCCTCAAATAAAAAAATAAAAGAAAATTGAAGGCTCCTTGTCGATTTTTAATAGACAAAATAAAAAAAATGCAGATCTGATAGTATTAACTTACTTTGGATGTCTTACCTTTCGTGGAAAGAGCGTTTGAGTTTCACTTTGGATTTGAGATTTGATCCTCACAATTAACCTGAAATTAAAAAAAGAAGTGTGTGAAATCTGTAAAAGAAGTATTGAAATTCTGTGAAAGCAACTTCATGCTTTAACCCTATCCTTACCATGGGCGACTTTTGTCGACAAGAAGAACCCCCCTGCTGGTTCCCATGGGCGACTTTAGTCGACCAGGAAACCACACACAGAACACCCTCAGCACAGATATATTCACTACTTTTCAGAAAGGCGGCATTTTGATATGTTTGGCCGCCCATACATCAACCATGTACCAGCTGAAAGAGTGTTTTCGGATCGTTCTAATGGTGTAGTTTATTCATAGTGTTGCCATTACAAAAAAATGAGAAAAGTGCTTTAGAAGTATCCACTCATAAATTGAGGTATGGAGTGCCATTCGGTCATGTGGTGAAATGGCTTGCAGTTTGATAAATGGAACCAGATGAACAAACAGGCATAACTTTCTTATATTTACACATATGGACTTCATTTTTACATCACATACAAGAGTAAGGTTCAAGGAACAAACTTTACACACAACACTTATGATTTAAATCACTCCTTGGCAGTGAAAATCTGTGTTGAAAAAAGTAAGTTGTGAACTTGTGGTCATTTTGTTCACGCTCTAGTGATTTCCGCATGACTGAGCAAACAATTTGGTCCTGGGGAGAGCCAAGTCAATAAACAATGTGGTAATGAAAGGGTTAACCAGTTTGAGTCGGAGGACGTGATAACCCGCACTGGCTGTGTTTATACACAGGCACGGCTGATGGGTTAAGACGTCAAGATTGCCTTGACTCGCCTCCGGGTGACGTCTAAACACACTAATCCCTCGTGCCTTTTGTACACACACACACAAAGTCCATGAAGTGTGTGAAGGCGGACCATGTGTTGATCTTGAATTGGCGGTTGTGTTTTACGCTCCAGTGCACACCACAGAGTATTGAAACATATGAGGTTTCGGCAACAACTATCATACAAATACTGTTGAAATGACTCTTGCGAATCCATTTGTGGCATTTGGCTGTACATGTATATCAGAAATTGGCGTGAATATTTTGCCTTTTGTAAAAATCGAAATTTTTGGGCAACAATAATCCTGTGGTTGAACCGCATGTACCGGTAGAGTATGGATGTCAACTTCACGGTTTCCTGATTATTACGTCCAACCGATTTGTAGCGCAGTGACTAGAAGCGTACATTTGGTTCACAGCACGGGCTGAATGCCAATAAAAACGTGTCATAACGACATTCTATCTGAAGATATAAATGACGGGGATCTAAATATAGTGCCTTTTTCTCTTGGGACGTTTCAAAGAGACGAATGTCAAATCCTGGCTAACCCACAAACGGATCTTAATGACTTCGTATTGCTGGTCACAAACATATTGATGGATGTGTTGGTGTGAAACCGAATGCCGTCTGCAGCAAATTGGCTCTGATGGAAACTTACCGTAGTGGAAAATGAGTATGTTTCGGACTGACTTCCAGCTAGCTGATTGCTGGCTGGACAAACAGGCATCGGGTTGCTTAGAACGGAAACAAGATCTGCCGCAAATGGGAGCTAAGAGCCAGCGAAATGAGAAATCATGTCGATTGGGTGTTCAGGAATCTTGCGTTTCAGTGTCGTTGGAGTGGAATATGAGTCAGGTTGGCGCAGTGCTACTTTACTTGATTTCCACTTTGGTGACCTTAGGTTCGAATCCATTCCAGACCGACAGGATTGAAAATCTTGGATTGGGTGTTATGGAATCTTTCATTTCCGTCAGGTTTAATTGAAATGAAAGTCAGGTTGGGGCAGCGTTACTTTCCTTGTGTTCCCCCTCGGTGACCTGGGTTCGAATCCATTCCAGATCGACGGGATTGGTAATCGTGGATTGGGTGGCAATGAATCTCTCATTTCAGTGTGGTTAAATTGAATTAAAAGTTTGGTTGGCGCAGCGTTACTTTCCTTGTGTTCCTAGTCAGTGACCTGGGTTCAAATCCATTCCAGACCGACGAGATTGGGAATCGTAGATTGGGTGATAAGGAATCTTTTCTTTTAGTGTCGTTTGATCAGAATGGAAGTCAGTTTGTCACAGTGTAACTTTCCTTGTGCTATCCCTCAGTGACCCGGGTTCGAATCAAGGGCAGATCCAGAACACAATTTGGGGGGGGGGGGGGCCCAAAAAAAATTGGTCCCCCAAAAAAATGTGTCAAAAAAATTACGGCGTGGGGTTCGGGGCCCGCTTAAGGATTTTTTGGATTCTAGATGCTCTGTGGTGCGATCTGAGGCAATTTCTGACCACTTTAACCAATGTTTCTTTGAGGAAAAGATGGTGGTGTACTCATTGCCTGCCTTTGTTGCGATGTCATATAAAAAAATTTTAAAAAGTGGTTTTTTTGGGGGGGGGGGGGGCATGGCCCCCTTTGGCCCCCCCCCCCCCTGGATCCGCCCTTGGTTCGAATCCATTCCAGACCGACAAAATTAGGAAATCATGTGGATTAATCCTAACTGAACTCATCCCATCAAAGTTCAACAGCAGGTTTTGTTTAAATCTGTTGGGATAGCTACAGTATCCCTAAATTGATAGTCTTTTGTACTGGGTTTGGCATACCTCCAGAAACTAAGTCCAACAGTGTGTGTGTACAATTTTCCATGTGGGTGTTGGAATTTGCCAGAATGGATATGGTTCCTAGTAAATTATGCTAGGGAGTTGGGGTTCAGTGATGAGGAGTCTTTTGTTGTGTGGTTTGAATGGAATGCACATGTACATGTAGTAGTCAGTTTTGCGCAGCGTTACTTTCCTTGCGTTCCACTTCTGTGACCCGGGTTCGAATCCAACCCAGACCGACGGGATTGGGAAATCATGTGGATTAGGCGTTGGGGACTCTTTCATTACATTAGTGTCGTTGTAATTCTAATGGAATTGAGGTCACATTGGGGCACTGTTACTTTCCTTGCATTCCACCTCAGTGATGACTGAGGTTCGAATCCATCCCAGACATGATTGTGTTTTTGTCCTTGCATGATTCCGTACGCTTTTCCATTCATTGTCTTAAAAAAAAGGATCTTTTCTTCTTCATCTCTTGGTTTATTTCTAAGCTTGTCAGCCACAGTGCCTACAAATAATAAATAAACTTATAAAAAGTTAAGTTTGGTTTGGGATGACCAATACAGTGATCTTTCTTTGTTTTCGAAAAATTAAAATGTCAACGAACGTGGAGAGCTCGGTCGGCCTTTTCATGAGATGAGCTGTCAGGCTTACGTTTCCGCCTTTCAGGTGAAGTCTCATGAGACAACTCACAAGAAAAAAAGAAGGGTATGAAGAATTAATGAGGGTAGAAGGAAAGAGGAAAAAGATAGGATTAATAGAGGATCTTTTTTTTTTAAAGCCGACACAATTTGTATTCAGCGGAGCTTTTCGCACTTAGAAATGTTAATCCTTGCTTACAGTCATTCTTAGCTGAAAAAAGACACCTTAATGAATAACAAAATGCCTTTGGGTTTGTTACCTGTTTATTGACAGGTGTATTGTGACCAGGGTTGACATTGTGGGAAAAGGTTTTCTGAGTTATTTGAAAGGTCAGCGAAAGAATGTCTGGATAACTTTCACTTCTGGATATTTCTACCGTGCTTAATGTTACAGTGAGGACCAGCTCCAAAAGAGTTCTTGATTATTAAAACAAATTTAAAGAAGAAAAAGAAAACGCTCAAAACGTTCACCTCTGACAAGAGGAATGTCAACATTTGCAGTGAAAAATAAAAGTGACAGAGATCAAGTGAGCCAAGTTTGTTACTTTTATTTGATGCAAGATCTGTTCCATCTCTGTAATTGTCCACATGGATGTTTGGTTAACTAGGGTTCGACCTTAACTTTTTGTTCTCACTTGCCAGCCAGGCCACTGGAACAGACTCTTAATTACATGTAGTCTGCAGGCATTCTCACTAGTAATAGCGTGCACATTTTTGTTTTATAGAGTGTCTCATAAACAACAATGTGTATACATATAAAACGTGTTTCCTGACTCCTGAGGCAATCTTGTCAGTGTTTTTTAATAAACAGATCTAATAATTTAACTCTGAACAGTTAATACAATTAGACACAAATTGATACAGGTTTGCTTTCTGAGTTAAAAGATTTATTTCTTCCTGTCCTTTCATCTTTGCCGCAGCCAAATAATTTTTGACTCGACAGCCAAGCTACTTAATAGGAATATTTTGATTAAGGAATAGTTTGACTAGCCCGCCGCTGTTTTGACTAGCATTTGGCTAGCGGGCTACCGCTAAAGTCTAATCCGGGGTTAACAAGTGTTTATTAAAAAAGGAGTATTTTAGAACTTAAAACTGACAATATGTTAATGTTTGCATCTTGGTCGTGTCAGATCGAATCCTGTTTAACTGAAAAAAATTGGCCGTCTTGTGTGTAGTGTAGCGATGTTTTGATTGCATGTGGATCTATTTGTTTGTTTCTTGGCTTTTTGTTCATGGCGCGGAAGAGCTCTCTCACAACAGCACTTCGGCCAGTCTTTTGCCCCTAGCCTGGCTTTATCTATTCTCTACTCAAATCCCTCAGAGTTTAAGGGATTGACTCTTGAGCCAGGCTGGCTTTGTGACCACGCATCTGCCATTTATTCCTTCCCCTGGGATGTGCATTAACGGATAATTTTTTTTCTCCCCTGTGGCTCGGTCGATGTCGCTGAATTCATGAATTTCCACCGTGTGGCTTTCCCGAGTGTGTGATCTTTGAAAGTCATTTCCTTGTAAAGATTGAAATCCAAGAAAATTGTACCGAGGCATATTTTTTGTTCTATATTCGAGGCTTCCTTAATCTGAAATTCAACACTGTGCAGTAAATGAGTGGTATTGTAATTAAAACTGGGGCACCAATTCCCATGAGAAGTAACTGGATTTCTCTAAGTCATGAATCCAAAATATTAAAAAACTTGAGGCATTCAATTTCATACTTTAGCTAGCTTGTAGTACCAACGCCAACTACTTGGGATGCCAATTTCTTGGGTTTTGATTCGTGTTTTGCAAATTAATGCTTATTTATACATTGGTTAGAAAGGATTATCAAAATTCTTAAAGGGAATGTACAACATTTGCTTTTGCTGCAGTTTTCAGAGATAAATGGATTTGGAGGACTACTATGTTATATAAAATATTGTTAAACTGACTTGCTTCACGTTTTTGGTTCAGAGATGCTGGAAAATCCAAGAAAACCAACCATGTTCTTGTAGTCTGGTTCCCTGACCCCACTTAAGATGAAACAAAGCAATTAATACACTTTGGGGAATTGTAAGGTCAGAGAATCAGTCTAGCAGGCTTGTACCCCTTCACAGGTGTGTGATCAATTGCAAAGAAGAGTCAAAATAACTAAATATGAAAAATTAAGAACAGTTTTTGAAAACAAGCCAGTTTTCTCCAACGCTGGTCGGCTGACCAGCGTTGGAAAAATAAAGTTTTTCTTGAAAATGTCAGCCCACCAGGAGCCACGATTTTAAAGGATGCTTTAGACTGTCAGTCCCTAACAATTCAGTAAGGTATTTCGTGATAATTTGATCATTTCGTTTTTTGATGTTTGCAAATGTTGTATTTTCCCTTTAAAATGGAGGTGAGAATTTCTCCTTTCTTTTTTTCTTTGTTAGATTCTGTATGTACCGGATCCCGACTCGCCTGAGCCCATATGCTTGAGCCCATCCTCAACAACCAAGAAAACATTCGTGAGTTAACTTCCTTTGCCGTAAACCTAACCCTCCTGCTGTTTAAACAGTCACAGACAGTCAAAACATCAATCCTCTTCCCCTGCCATGCCATGCCTTTTATACAGGCTAGTCAACAACAGTCAGATCATTTATTGGGCAAGCACTGTGACTAGTCCAATTCAGTCAACAGACAGGCAGGCAAGTGGTAGGCACAGCTGGCTTATCAATCACCTACGGTCAAAGCATAGCTGTGTCAAGTTACACAAACAGTCACAGCCAGTCAATCCTGCTTTATGTACCGGTAGGCTGGGAATTCTTAACTGTTGAAAACAGTCACTTGATTGATTTTGACTGAAATGACATTTTGGCACAGCATGTATGTTTGCATAGGAGGGTTAAATTTCTTCTTTATACACCCGTGTAGCTCACTTTCATTGGAACTTGGAAGAAAATATTAGAAGTACACTATAGTCTTTGTTTTACTTAAAAAGAAAATTAACTTTCTGAAAAGCTTGTCATCAGTATCATTCAGTGATGCACTGACTGCTTCTGCTCATAAATATTCATGAACTTGTATGTTCATTAATATTCATGAACTCATCAATATTCATGATGCATACATGTACGGAAGTGAGAGAAAACCAATCCCCTGAGGGGGCGGAATCGGATTGCTTGAATTATTCATTAGTCAAGAAATACCGATCGCCTTCTCACTGCGAGGCGAGAAAGTCATTCATCATGCAGGATTACTGTCTTTAAATTAATGAAGCATGGCACAAGGCCAAAAAAAGTACAAAGGACGGCACTTTATAGAATTCTTCAAATTCTCAGTGTTATATCAGAGACCATGGAGGAAATTAGGGGATGTTCCAGTTGTGTTCCTTAGCCTGTGTCACCAAACAAATGGAAGCCTTAATTTTCCAAAATCCAAACCGAAAAGTGGAATTCCAACCAATTTTTAAAAAAAAATTGGATATTAATCCCACCACTACTTACAGCATTCATAACACTTGATAATGAAAATCTGTTTCATTTTCCGAAAGGACCTTCCTGTGGTAAGCCAGAAATCTGACATTCCCAAGGTAACTCAGTCCAAGACCAGCACCAGTGCCAAACGCTTCCTGCTTCTCAAGTCCAAGAGCAAAGAGGAGAAGGCGACGTCCAGCAAGCGCGGTCGCAAGTCCCTGCTCCGGTACCAGACGGAGCCGCGGCCGGGGAGGGTGATCCGAGATCGCTCGCAGGACGACGACGCGGAGGAGAGCAAGAACTTCTTGAAGCTGGACGTCAAGTATATCACTGATGGAGAGGTTTGTTACTAAGCACTTTTGAAGAATTCGAATGTCTACTTATAATTACCTATCCTCGCTGTGCCCAGTGGCAGTGTTTTTCATGCCCAATTCAACTGTTAAGTGACCTACCTCTCAACTTCAAGCGGCCACCTCAAGCTATTTTTGGTCATAAATACCACCTCGCAAAAGAAAATTGCAATAAAAAGTAATAAATACAAAAAAGTTATTGGGGCGGGATTAGTCTGGGAGACCATCGCAAGTTAAATTCGAAAGTATTCGCGCGCCGAAGATGCCTGACGCTCACGCGCAAAGATGCTATGGCTTAGCTTTGTGCACATTCAGGATAAATAAGTCGTGCGTACTTCGCGCGCGCGAACCAGTACAGTACGCGAAGGCGGTGTCCCATCCAAGGGGCTCTCAAAAATGGTAAAAACACACTCTCTAAAAAAGAGCCCATACAGCTCCATTTTCCACATTGAGTTCCCAACTCATTTTAGAGGGGAAATAAGAATTCCCTGTGCATTCACACGAGTATGTATACAAAGAAATTTACCAAAAACAAACTCTGTTTTCCAGGGTGTTGTCAGCGGCACCATGTTGGTCACCCCCAACGCCATCATGTTTGACCCCAACGTTTCGGATCCCCTGGTCAAGGAGCGGGGTACCAGTCCCTACGGTGTCATCACACAGATGGATGCAGTCCGGGGAGCGGCCATGTACCACGACATCTCGGCCATGAATCTCAAGACCAAACCAGAGAGGTAAGGGTAGCAACGCAGCGGCAGAAGAATTTGGGGCTGAACAATGGGAACAGCTAGTCTGAGTATCACCCGTTATCCACGAAGCCAAGAGTCTCCTGGATAACGTCTAATATGTCTAGACATGCAGATGAATGCAAGCCGCACCAGCCAGTCGGAGTCGACTTGACTAAATCGTGACGTCATTCCATTCCCAAATCAGGACTAAATGGTTTGATTGGTCAATTGGAATGCAGTGTTTTGTAATGCAACAACAGCCGGGCGCATTATCGTGTAACATAATACAGAGCGCTTGACACAGGTTTTTTTATCCATTGTCTGTGACACGCAACGGGTCAATGACCAAAGACCCGATATAGAAAGCACCCGCTGATAAGTCAAAATCTAGAGGTCAAGAGGCGGTTGTCTTGCCTAATAAATCACCTCTTATGTAATAGACCACAGCATTTGGTATGGTCTATTACATAGACTAGGGAACAGCAGGGTTGCAGCACTTATTTTCTGTTCTCTGCCTGCATTTTTATCAACCTGCATCCATCGCCGCCACAGCTGCAACGTATTCAAACTGATTCAAACTGGCCAGCCGGTCAGGCAAGATCAGTGGTTGGTTGATTAAGCCTAACCCTCAATCCTCCAAAATCCTCCAGGCAGTTTTGGAGGATTTTGGAGGATTGAGGCTGAATGGCAAAAGGCGTCGGTTGGTTTGAAAGGATTCATTGCGTCGAGTTTGCAGGCTGCACCAAGTTTATGTTCAGCCATGCATAATTGAGCACTGCATAATGCTCGATATCTTCCGCACTGCTTCCGAATGTCATCGGCACTGCCTCAACCCATTAACAGTGATTATTGGAGGATTTTGAAGGATCGAGGCAATGGTCACCCCTCCACCAGGCAAATTAGAGGATTGAGGCTGTATCCAATTTTTACATGGCGGCAATTGGAGGACTTTGCGGGATTAAGGATGGATCCTGGCAAAAAAAAAGGGCTTAGAAGGTTAGGGTTAAGTTGACCGAACTTGCGAGGAGGTCGTCTGTTCAAGTCCCATCTGAACAAACTTGTGCTTTTGTTTCCTGTCAGCTCTTCAACTACACTGAGTATACAAATAATATACAATTTACAATGGCAAACAATTTATGCAGTCACTTGTTATCTGCTTGTAACCTTTCTTATCATTTGACCTGTATTGAACTTGACTTCACCAATTTCCCGACAGCGGTCACATGGTAGAAATATTAGAAACGTGGGAAGTAGCCCAATTTGCTTTGAATTCCCAACTTAATATCATTGGTTTGTTTTGTGTTTTTTGCAGCACCGAACCTGGCACGTGCCCAGTTTACGTCCCTGAAAACGCAAAGGATGGCAACAAGAACTCGCCGACATCCCAAAACCAAACTTCACCCACCACAGATACCAAACCAGGGACTGAACCAAACGATAAGCCAAGCCAACCAGATTCCGTTCTGAGAACCATCTCAAATCTGAGCGACGGCTTCGTGCATGTGATTGACGACGTTGAGAGATCCAAGGAGACGGCCGGTGCGACTCAGGAATTGAACGGTTGCACTTCGATACCCGAGAGAGACGGGGACGTCGAAATGGACAACTTGGAAAGTGAGGATTGCGTCAAGAAAGAGGAATCCGAACTCCAAAAACAGGCAGATGATACTGTCACAAACAATGGTGAAGTTGGGTGCGAGTCAACAGAGGGAGCTCTTCATAATGATCTCCATGCTAGTACGACCACTGGGGACGCTGTTGCCCCCCATGAGAATGACAGTAACGAGGATAAGATCATCATCCCTGAAGACTCGAACCAAAGCCAGGACATCAAGGATCTCTCAGAGAGAGAGTTAACAAACAATGATGCAACTCATACAGGGAGCACCTCCATCGAAGCTTGTGACGACATGGAGTCTCAGGATCAGGTGGTTTCATCAGACTCGAAAGGGTCCCTCCCAGACCTGGTCGAATCAGCCGAGCAGTCGGTCAAAGACAAGGACTCTCCAACTGAGACTGATCCCTTGGTATCAGCAGCGGAAACCACCTGCCCGTTTTGTCACGGCGACATGACCAGCAAGATGTGCAGCGCTGAAGATGCATCCAAACTCCAAGCCCGTTCGACAGTGGAGGGCACGTCCCCGTCAAACATGCCCGGGTTTGTCAACTTCTCGTCCGGGATCTTCTTACGTGAGTGCAAGCGATGCACGGCTGTCCCGGATATCACGGAGTCGGTACAGGATACCAGCGCCACTGAGCGTGAGCTTGAAGCGATCAAAGCCGAGGGACGAGAGATCAGGAGACAGAGCGACCTGCTCTCGGAGCTCCCTGATGCGGATGATGAAGACTCCCATCCTCCTCCCGAGAATGAGAAAGCCAAGACAACTAAAGATGTGAACAAGGAGGTCGTGCTGGGGTACAATAAGACCAACTTTGAAGGTAGGTGATGGTAGGAATACAACACATCAGACATGCTAGACAAAACATTGAAAAGATATTGGGTTCAATGAGAGTAATGGGGTACCGGTATATTTTTCAGGATTATTTCATGCTATAAAACAAAACGATTCCAGTGCCCCAAAATGGAATGCCATGAACCATTTTAAAATTACTAAATATATTTAAACTTCCCTTTATTTTCAACTTGCTTGGCTTTTATGCAAATTTTATAGGGCATCAAGCCCTGTGAAGTTTTGAAGAATCCTCCATGCTTCCTTGAAGCCCTTTTCACACTGGAGCCTCTCAACCTGGGTTGAACTCAAACCCTGGGTGAACCCAGTGCTGCTCTGGGTTGAGTTTTCAGTTTTTCAACCCCGCATTCAATCTCGCATCGTTTCACACTTGTTTCATGCAAACTGAGCTCATTTCGCTCGGTTACTACTGTTTTGAACCCTGGCGAAAGTTTCAACCCGGGTTGAAAATCTCAGCCCTGGTCTGGAGCAGGGTTGAGTTCAACCACGGGGCGAAATAAATCTCAGGGTTGACACAGGTTTGAAAATATTTAAGTGTGAACGCCACATTTTCAAGCCCTGCGTCAACCCACGTCAACCCCGAGATTTGTCTGGTGTGAAAATGCCTCTCGTTTGAGTGAGCTCAACCCTGCCAGATTCTTTGAAAACCTCTACAAAGTTTAGGAGGACTTTGCACAATTAAAAATTGAAGTGTACTTATAGAGTAGTTCCTGTTCCTGTAGAGAGGTGGATAGATTTATAAGGATTTGAGAAGTTTACAAAAAATATCAAGAATAGTTAGGGTTAATAAGAGCGATCAATCAGTCGCCTCTCAACAAATTCAGTTAGACAGGTTTTAGTTACATGTCGTGCATACATGTACATTAATTAAACCAATTGCACATTTTTGTGACGTTGACGCGCATATCCAATGACGCAATGCAGGTCCTAGGCGTACACGTACATGCGAAACCTCGCAACTTACCCTCTTCACTGACAGCACTGTTTGTCAGTATTGAGCATTAATCACAAAGAGTTCCACAGTCACCTTTAACATTTGACGGGGATCATTAGCTCCTCTGAGCTACTGATGAAATGAGGGCTTTCTGTCATGGATGACAAGCTTGATGGATTATAGCGGCTACCGAGACAGCCACTGGACATGTGTTAATCTCATTCTGGCGTAACATATTAGATTTTTCAATCTTTATTTCCCTAATGGGGCACGTGCATGCTATACACAAGTACAGTGTACACTTGATGTTTTTTTAAGGGGTCGTCTCCGTGAAGAAGTGATCAGCATTGTTTATAATCTGATAACTCCATGGGGTGAAAATTCCGGGGAAGTTGTTCACAATGTTACAACTCGACCACCAAGTCCCATCCGAGTTAAGTTTGTGAAATATGTCTCGCAGGCCCTTGGACATAACTGAGTATACGAGGTGTTTTAAACACCGGCGAAGGGCAAAACCCGACATAAAATTTACATTTCCCCGACGCAAATTCCATCTTACTAATAGTTTCCTGTACATGGTACATGTATGTACCGGTGTACATTGTACACTTAAAGTCAAAATAATAATAATAGCAGGCATTAGCGCTTTTACGTCGCAACGGGGTATCAAAGGGCTTTGCAATATTATTTTCCCTGTGTCAATGGGCAAACACTCCTGAAACCTTCTCAGCTCCCTGGGGAGTATACAGCTTGATGCTGCCTGTTAGGTGCAAGGGAGCTAATTCAACCACAATAACCATCCCTGCCCTCACTGGTTGGCTGAGGTACCCATTTACTCCTGGGTGGAGAAAAGCAATAAGTGACAAATATGTGCATTGCTCAAGGGCACACGCACCATGACCCCAGGCAGGACTCGAACCAACTACCTGCAGAATTACCCGCAGACCATAAATCCGATGCCCTTAACCACAAGGCCACAGCACTCCATAGTAGTGCATTTATACAACAGTTCATTTTTACAGTGAACAGAAATGTGTCATTTCCCTGTGTCTGTGTGTGTGCCACCATGGAGCTAGGAACATGGTGCTACAAAGTGAACTGTGGGGAATCTAACTTCAAAGTAGGCTCAACAATAATTGTGTGCCATATTCTGAGAAAACTTGCATCTCCCTGTGGGAAACCCGCTTCTCAAAAGAAAGTTACAAACAGGAAGATTTGTGTGCTGTGCTTGGCACAGATAAGCCGACAGTTCATGCACTGTGCAAATTATCAACAATGACTGTGTGCCATATATTCCCAGAAAATTCACAACTCCATGTCTCTCGGAAAAAAGAAAAACAAATTACAAACATGACAATGTGTGTGCTCTGCAATGGCACAGATAAGCCAGCACTCCGTCCCTGTGCAAATTGTCAAGACCTGACAGGCGCTAATTTACCTAATCAAGTTTCCCGTTCTCCGGAATTACAACCTGGAGCAAGAATCGATGGTGGCAATTTTGATTAAGAAGGTGTTGTGCTGAGCTTATGACCCAGTTAAGCTGATGGTTTTGCAGTGCTTGCACGTTGTACAGAAAGGTAGGATTCAAACTTCTGAAATGTGTTTTTGTGAAATGAAGCATACATTACTTGACGCTGTGCCCTGTTCAGATGTATCAGGTTCAATGGTTGATTGATTGTAAATATTGGCTTTCCTTTTAGGCCTATAATCATTTTTTTTATGGTATGAAAGTGTGTGAAAATTACAAGCCAATCGAAGCTACATTTCATTATGTACCGGTAGTTGTTTGTACAGAACAAAATTATTCCACAAATCAATCAATTATGTTCATTATTGATTTGTTAGTTTGAGGACGTGGCAACTCAGAGTCAGTGACACCTGCTTTCAGATTACATACATAAATACATGTACATCTACATGTACATGTAGAAGTGCAGGTAGGCTTGTAATTGACAGGAAAACGAGGTATATTACACCTGTCTACAACTGTGTACAACAATCAAACATCTTCAAACTCTGCCATGATCTCACTGGCAGGTGTCATATCGGTACTGTGTGCACAAGTAAATGCTTAATTAAGCAAGCATTTGTGTGTATAGGTACACATGTGTACTTGGTACCAGCTGTGATTGTACCAGTACTACTGTCTTGTTTCATCCAATGGACAATTCAACGGTTACTCATGTTACATTTTTGATGTATTTTTGAGTTTCCTTGGGATGTGATTACCTTACTGAAAAGGTTTAATAACTGTTACCCCCATGGTAGATAGAGTAGACCTAGACCTACCTCAACACCAAAGATGACATCCAGAAAAATTTGTTATGTACATGTATGATAAACAAAACGCACAAAATCGGTTACTCGCGTTACATTTTCATAACGTGAGTAACCAATTTTGTGCATCTTGTTATAAATAACACATTTTCTGGATGTCATCTTTGGTGCTTAGGTAGGTCTAGGTCTACTCTATCTACCATGGGGATAACAGTTATTAAACCTTTTCAGTAAGGTAATTACAGCCCAAGGAAACTCAAAAGTACATAAAAATGTAACGTGAGTAACCGTGGAATTGCCCCAATGCACATTGTATACGTACAAAAATGTACACTGTAACTTCTGCAGTGCATAATACATATATGCACATAGGTTTAGTCTTGAGTGAACGTCCAGATGTCGTGCAGGAGACGCACCGGTACATGTATTCATATCCAGATCTGACTGTCACTACACCATCAACTACAGACTTTGTTCACCACCGGAGGATGTGTGGCATTTATCCTCTTCCTGTATCAGCCTCCGAGCTTGGAGCTAGAGTTCACTTACATGTACTCTAATTGATGTGCATGTATTAGTGATAAGACGGTACACTGGCCTGAACCGGTAACTTGTACTCAAGAATACGCTGTATGCATTGACTTCATGTAGTTTGTGGACCGTGCGGAGTGAGTGGCTTGCGTTGAGTTTTTCAGTGACGTGGATTTGTCACCGGACAATCGTTAGAGAAGATGAGATGTCGTGTTTTGATTCAGTGATCGCGCTGCTGCCGGTACGTCAGTGTGCACATTGGTGTGGGGTGCACTGTATTCTGCAGGCCACGTCTTGGACTTGTGAGTATTGATTGATACGGGCAAACGTCTTTGGGGCGCTTGTGATTTCTTAGGGGATGCTGAGCTGAACTGATATGGTCACGTAACCTTTCTGTGAGGAGGTTCGTTAGTGAGACCGTGTGTGGGTCTACAGTGTATGTTACAGTCTAAGGAGTGTATGTATGACTTAAATGTTTTCATAAATGATCACATTACGGACGCGTTCGGTATGCATTTGCACTGCTAATTTCTGTCACTATCAGCATCCATTTCAATCCTGTTTGTTCAGTAAAACAATGTACCGGTACTAACAATAATAGTATACAACGTGTACAAGTACAGTACATGTACATGTAATATAGCAATGATTATGAAGTTCTCAATAGAATACTTTCGTGTTGTTCATTTTGTAAAATGTAAAGAAGTGCTTTTAAAAATGTATTTATTCTTTAACTTTAAGTCTACTCTGCTCTGTAATTTGCATGTAATGTACAAGTTTTCTATACAAAAAAAAGTAAAAGAAAAGTACATGTACCGATAGGCCTACCATAATGTATAGTTTTAATGTGAGTTTTCTGCAGCCTGAACGGTTCATTAAAAGGTGTGCAAATTGAATATTTACAAGTTAAAGGGAATATACATCATTTGCTTTTGCTGTAATTTTCAGAAATGGATGGAATTGGGGGGTTGGAAATATAAAGCAAATATAGTTACACTGACTTTTTGGAGGTTTTGGGTTCGAAAGTGCTATAAAAACCAAGAAAAACGATCATTTTCCTGTAGTCTGAAGAAATATAAGAAGAAACAGAGCAGTTTACATACATTGGGGAATTGTAAGGTCAGGGAACCAGTCTAGCTGGCTCGTACCCATTCATAGGTTTGTAATCGATTGCAAACAAGTGCAATGGTCAATTGGGGCCAGTATTTGAAAAAAAAAGCCAGTTG